GTGTGTTTTTTGAGTCGGGACCGAGATGCGTGAGCTGGTTTCCAAGATATATGGTGGGTGTATGTTCGCGCGAGAGCCTGCCGCCCTTGAGGCCACAAGCCTTAGGGCGCGTGGGGCCGGGGCCAGAGCTACCAACGGAAGGACAAGAAGGGCCCAGTCCACAGCCCCAGCCCCAACCCTAGCCATCCAGCTCAATTGAACAAGGATTTGACAGGGGGCCAGGCCCCGACCAAGCTCGATGGACGGTTATGGATACCTGGAGTGCCAAGCATGGACTTGGCGGAAGGGGTGGATCCCGATGATCTCAGAACATGGGACTGATGAGAAGTAAATCCGCAGCGGTTTTGAGGGGGTCTGGGGGCCGAGGCAAACATCAATTACTTCGCTTCGAGCAACCCCCACCCCCTTGGGGCCTATGACTTTGCACTGAGAGCCTTATCCACCTGTCTGTGTGTCAAACTCCACTTGTCTGCGAGCCGATCTCGAGAGCTCAAACATCGGTTCCGTTAACAAAAGCCAAGCCCCTTTCCAAAACTAATCCCGGCGGGGGATTAAACGAGGTTGCCTGTTCACAGCCCAAAGCAACACAAAAGCATCACCCTTTCCGAGCCTCAGGGCACACTCAAAACACGAAGGCACCAACATGATATGTAAACCCAATTGTGCGCCGGGCGGGATATTAAGCAAAACCAGACTGGCGAGCTGCTCTGGCCGGATACTGGCGGGATCCCCTGGTGAATACTGGCGAGCCGCTCCTCGATACTGGCCGGATCGACAAGATCCACCGGCAAGGGATACTCAGCGGGATACTTGGCGCGATCCACTGGCGAGCTACTCTGGGATACTCAGCGGGATAGTTGGCGCGATTTACTGGCGAGCTACTCTAGGATACTCAGCGGGATACTCGGCAGGATCCACTGGTGGGCTGCTCTAGTGGGATACTCGGCGGGATCCAGCTACTCTGGATCCACTGGTGAGCTACTCTGGGATACTCAGCGGGATACTCGGCGGATACTCGGCGGGATCCACAGGCAAGCCGCTCTGGCAGGATACTTGGCGGGATACACTGGCAAGCCGCTCTGGCGGGATACTCGGCGGGACGCACTGGCGAGCAGCTCTGGCGGGATACTGGGCGGGATCCACTGGCGAGCAGCTCTGGCGGGACACTCGGCCGGATCGGGGCGTGGTGTAGAAGCATCGCAAACGCGGGTTCCAACATAAGCATAGGCGCCGGATAGCAAGAAAATGATTTGATCAAAAGCGTGCTGAACGATGAGGCTAACTACTAGGTATACGGCGCGTAGCCGGCCGTGAGGTTTTCTAATGCACGTCGCCGCCTCTGCGCTCATGCGCTGTAAATTCCATGGGGGAAACGTGTTTTCCTGAGACACACCCTTCTGCGCCGCAATTACAAGCAGTTTCACATGCAAACCTATGTTTCGCCCCACGAGCGCCACGTTATTCAAGAGTTCGAAGACTGTTTCGCAATGGGGTGCAACTACTTGCAACGACACAGCGAACACCGTTTTGCATGCCGAGAGCCTTCGTATCACCGTCCTTGCTGAGTATCATATCGCCGTGCTTGTCACAGAAAGGGTAGCCCAAAAAGGAAAACCCTCTGGAAAAGTCGATATGTGGTCGCTTGGTGTCATGTGAATGTATTGAACAGCTCCATTTTGCCCACATGACACTGGCAAGGACCCCATGTTCAATATTGACATCCTGATAGGCCACAGAATGTTTATTGACACAAATATATATATATATATATATAATATACACATATCTCAATTCCTGCAAGGGTTTGCTTTTGCTACTTGTGTGAACCCTCTGCACAACAGAGAATGCCCCTCCACTAACAAATGCATCGTGACACGGCAACAAACATATTTACATTCCCCCCTTCCCCCCCCCCCCCACGTACGCTGCTGCGTGTACGATGGGCTCACGTAAAGCACGGCGCATGCTGACGAACGTAATTGCATCCCCACCCACCCACCCCCCCCCCCATCCCCCGCAATCCCCCCTTCAACATCCCCATCCCCCCCCCCCCCAACCACCCGATCAGCTGAAAACCCCACGGCCGTCTATGTGCCGTGGACCAACTATTGATATAGTATACTCACAACACACGTCTATGCGCAGTTGGATCACTTGCCGTCGGCTGCAAAGCCCGTTTTTTCATGCGACGCAGCAAGCTTAACTTCCCCGTGTGAAAGCGACATTCTGACTGTTTGAGGAGCCCCATCCACTGCCGTTTGAACATCTCTCACCTCCACTACCAATGAAGTACGTATGCCCAAAGCTGGGCTAAACAGAAAGCTTGTGGTGCCCTGTGGTTTCCAAAGGTCCGGTGTGCTGCACGATTCAGGCAGAAATCGTAACAGTGCTTTGCGACACCTGAAGCTAAATGAGTATCTTCCGGCACAGAACACCATTGCACTTTGTAGCATTCACACGCAATACTAAATTATATATAATATTTCTGGCAACAAACACTAGCATTTTTGCGCCTTCGAAACACTCGTGCGTCCCTCTATAAACTTGGGATGCTCGCATCGCTTCACCATGGCACCACCTGATATCTCAAAGCTGCATGACTCTCGCCCACTGCAACAGCATCTAGCAACATTCCGCGTTCTGCATCACAACAGCACCCTGCAAGGCACTGCATCAAGCTCGCCAAACGAGCCTTGCAACAGGATTCCGCATCTCCCAATATTTTGTCTTGCGGGCCCCTTGCTAGAAGTCAGAACTTTTGTTGCTTTCAGCCAGTTGGGAGAAAACAAAAGACTTTGAAAGACAGTACAGACACGTATAGAGCACGCTTTGGAGAGGCATTGTTGCTAACCATCCTTGCTCCCAAGCACGTGTTACGCCACATGGGGGGGATGGATACTTTTGCTACTGGCAGACTAGATGCTTCTAGGGCAAGCCCAACAGAACATGCAGAAGCGGCAAGGTGGGTTCAGCATGGGCGCCTTGTCCAGGCCACAAGAGGACGATCAGGTCAAGAGCTCAGATTTTTCCAGCTCTGGTGCTCTCCGTGTGTCAGTGTGAGGTCTCTGGGAGAAATGCAGGAGAGGGGGCATCACCAGGAGCACTACGACCAACACAGCCCGGCCTTTTCACTGCCGGTGAGGTGCAGAACTTGACACAGACTCCCAGACTCGGAGACTCACAGACTCGCGTACTCATTAACATGACTAACAAGGCATGTCATAGCATGTCTTAGCATGTCGTAGCATGTCGTAGCATGTCATAGCATCCCAAGGCGGTGTGGATGGCGCACTTGCTGCTCGTGCTTGCCCTCGTCATATGCATTGTAGTCAGAGCCCAGTCTCCTCAATGCGCAGGCACGCGTGAAGTTGGCTGATTTGAGGTTTATTGGAAGTCGCTCGAGCATACACCAGCTTCCCAGGCCGTGCGCTGCTTAATGATATCCTAGCCTCATGCCGTAGTGCTGTACCACAAGCAACGCAACTTGAGAAATGGAGTGAGCTGCTTGCAAGAGCTCACTGAGGCCGTGGCCAAGGGCGGCAACATCCTCAGTTGTGAGCTCTTTGCAGGACCACTGTTGCATGCAGTGAGACCGCTGATCATGAAGAACAATTCGTTAGATCGCTGGGCAAGCGGGTAACTCAGGCCATGTCGCTGGCTACTTGCTCTACTGGAGATAGCGCGAGGATTTGACCGTGTTTCACAGGCAGCGCTTGCACACCTCCGCTCATTTGTTTGAAATACAAGTTTGAATATTTGGGATCGAGATTTTGCGAGCGTTGTCAATGTATCTTTTCAAGCACCGTTTTAAGAAGAATGCCGCACATCAGCCGGCATTTGCTGCGAAGAATCGTGTCCATGCAGTTGCTTATCGCAGGCATGTTCTGTGGCTTGTGGACAGTTCAAGGAATGTTGGTAACATTGTGCAGGCCAAAGTGAAGAGCACAGCAATTGCCCTGAAGGATTATCATTGCTCTCATATCAAGTGGAGGAAGTGCGCATCACTAGGCCAAGTCCATTGTGACATCTCGGGATGCATTCAGGAGCTGTCCATCCGGTCTCACACGAAATTGCATCGCATCGAAGGAGTCAGTGCCGTCGCCCTTATGGAGCCAGCCTTGCACTCTTTTGCTTGCGTTCGCAAGCACACGCAGAGATTATTCTCGAACGCATATATGCAGAAAAATGTCTTGCGGCTCTGAGGCTACTTTACCAAGTCAGAAGGGTTTGATGATGTGGGGGTGTATCATGGAGCCCCAGAAGGCTTGGAAGACGAAGAAAGAATAGCTTGGCACTCTGACAGGATCCATTTCCCAGGAGCAAACAACGCGGAAGAAAGGAAAAGGGATGAAGAAGGGTAGCAATCCATTGTCAATCAACTAGTAACCGTAGTAGTTGGACGTCGCACAACACCACAGCAGAAACATGACCGTTGCGTTGGAGAGCAGAGGCAGGACAGTGAACATCACAGGAAGGAGAAAGACCCAAAGCCAGGGAGTCAAAGCTGGCACATATGGCTTGAAGAATTGAGGCAACTGCCAAGCTTGACATGTCTTGCCAGCGAAGTGTCTTTCTCCTATCTCATGCCAACCGGCACTTGTTTTAATGAATGTAGATAGCATTAGCTTCCGCAATGTTGGTTAGAGAGCTCCTCTTACTTGCGTGTTGACTTCTGGTGGCTGTGTAATACATGAAGACTTTAACTGTGGAGACATTGCTGAACGACAACTGCATCTTTCTCTCAAGCTTCGTGTCAGAAAGCCCATGAGAATGTGTAGATAGAGCATGTGGAACAGGTTGAGCCCAAGTTGTCCAACCCTACTCCGTGGCATCGCAGACACTCTTTAGCTAAATGCAGAACAGTGGCAGGATGGCTAGACATCTTCGGGTTTCAGAAAGTGTTTGATGTGTGTAGCATATTTGAGCAGCGCGCCGAGCGAAGCATGAGCAATGCAGACAGCAATTCTGTGACTGCGTTTCCCAACGTCATTGCGACTCTACAGATTGTAAAGGCAGAAACTCACAAATGTCATAAGCAAGCAGCTGCGTGCGGCAAACACGGGCCAGGCCAGCTGTCATCCAATCTTGGCAGTCAGTACATGTTGGTCTGTGCTGCCATACATTGCAGGGGGGCGTATTTTTTCCAGGGCGCAATGTTTGGGTGCCTTTCTTTTACCTAGGTGCCCATGACAGTCCAGGCGGCTGACCTTGTGCTAAGATGAGCATTGAATCGCATGGGTGCAGGTCAGCCTGCTGGATTTTCCGTGGGTGCTCGACTACATCCTTGCTACTCGCTTCAACTGCTCGCTGAGACAGATCCGCCATGCTGTCTGCAGTATTGCCCGAATCCCAGTCCTGAAGGTTCAAAACACGCATCAGACATGGCTGACATGGGAGTTGCCTGAGCGAGTTGCCTGTTTGCTGAACGACAAGTGCTGTCAGGTGCTGACACTGCGCACCATACTCTCTGCAGCAGTGGAGTCACATTCTCAGCATTCAATGTTGATTGTCGCGCGGATCCTGTACATTCGGACATGCCCAGGCTGGGTCTCTTGGTCTCACAAGATGCAGAAATTGATGGGTCAGTCTCGGCCAAGCCCTTCATCGACAACATGATTCATGTCATCAGCGAGCTGGATTCCTAGAATCGCATGCTGCACCTGGCACTCACAATGCCTTTGTTCCTTGGCTGGGCACTGATGCTCCAGGTGCCTGAAGAACTTTCCTTTGTGCTTAGACTCCGAGTTTTTCCACTCGTTCCTAGAGCCGTTGTGTCTGCCTCAATGCCGGATGCAACCAGGGTGTGCTTTCTCTCCTGTAACTCATGTCACTCCAGGCCAAGTCACCTTCGATTTCTGTGCGGCAATTTCCACCCGCTGACTCACATGCAGTTTGAGGATATGGGTGCGCCCTTTGCCTCACCACTTCAGTATTGGTTCGCTGGATTCAGTGGGTGTGCAGAGCGCTTGAAGCGTATCTTGTCATCATTTCCAGGATTCCGCGAAGCAGAAAGCCTTCGAAGCTCAGACAAAGGCTGTGGAAGCTTGGCCTTCATGAGTTTGAACTGCACTTGCTTTTGCCGTGCGCCCGAAGCCGGATGTGTTGTGCATCATGATGTTGCGAAGCAGGTTGAGCGTGTCTTGGTAACAACCATGTCACCCTACTGTACTACACCTTCCATTGCGCGTCTTACAAGATCTTTTGGCGTTGTCCAAACGAAGGCAATCGAGTTCACCAGGCTTTTGCTTTACACAACTTGGTAGAATTGCCTGCAGGCAATAACGCAGGCTTTGTCCGAGCTGCCTTCGCAGTGCTGCGAACTTGGAATGTGCCGTCGTTTTGCCGTGCGATGCTGTCTCATGCTTCAGGTTCCAATTTGGAGCTCTACATGAGTTCCCAAGAGCCCGTGTTGAAGCAGATACAGCTCATCAAGGACGAGTGCCAGCCTTTTGTGGCGCAGCAGATCTGTCAGCAGTGGTCTGTTGGTGTGTGCGTGTGCGTGTCTTCTGCTTTGCTAGTTTTGCCATTTTTAAGATCCATGCAGCACAGTTTCTGGCCAGCCATACTGGCAGCCATACTCTTGGCGCACGCATTTTTATTGACCTACCACTACTCAAACACATGCAGCATGCCTTTATACACAGCTTCTATCATTAACTACGCTTTTTTGTCTCGGACGCTTTGCTTCAGCACAAGCAATTCGGATGTTCCTTCCACCACATTGGTTTGATGGACGTGTGTGAACGCACTTGGCAGATTAATGATATTGTCGCTTGTGAATTTATTCCTGCAGCCATTCAATCACTCTACGTAATTTGTCGAGTTCACTCGCATACCAGCCAATTGATTTGAGCTCGGGTGAGGAAAGCCACCGACATTTCTTGTAAGTCTTACTCCCCAGTCACGAATACTGGGCTGGTGATTCCCAGGCGGTAGACTGAATCCCTTCTTTGGGCCAGCTGTTCAACATCCTCCGCATCGTTTCCGCATCGTTTCCGCATCCTCAGCACCACCACCTCAGCAGCGCCAGCAGAATGACATTTCTGGAAAAGAGGGAGGAAACAGGGTCAAACGAAAGGTCCCTGCGGGATCTGCGGGGACATGTCCAAACTGATTCAGTAGGAAGGAAAGAGCTTGATTACATCAGTAAGTAGCACCCCTACCCATCATTTGCAGGAGCCTTAAAACAAGGGCACTTGCAAGCAACAACAACACAGATCTTCAGCTGGGGAGAACAACATGAACCAGCGCAGCAAACCGAAGGTCCCTACGCAAGTCGTGTTGTGGGACCTTTCCAAAGGAACGAAAAGTAAGAGCAGAAAAATAAGAAACCTCACCGAGAAAGAGCTGGCCTGCACCAGTAGAGCTCACTTCTAGGGGGCGGTTTAACAAAGAGGAAGTCGCAAACAACAGCGCACGCACACACGCACACCCAGCTAGGGAAAAGAAGTTGAACAAACGAAGCAAACCAAAGGCTCCTACTCAAGTCCCGTGAAAGAGTGCAGACCAAAGAACCAGATGCATCAGCATGAAAGAGCTTACTTGCATCACTTGTGCGGGACCTTCTTCAAGTCTCCAGGTAGGAAAGAACATGAACAAAAGGCGGCAAAGCAAAGGCCTCCTCCTTAAGGGCCTTTCCAAACGAACAATCGCAAACAGAAGAACAAAACGAGAAGCATCAGCAGGACAGAGCACCCCCATCCATCACTTCTGGGACCTGTCCAAAATCAACAGAGGAAGCTACAGTGAAACCACCCCTAGGTATGGGGGGGCACTTGAACAAACAAAGGCAAACCAAAGGTCCCTACTCAAGTCCTGCGGGAGCCTTTCCAAAAGAATCACACAAGAAGCGTCGGCTTCAGTAGCGCCCGAGAGCTGAGGAAGTTGCAAGCAACAACTCGCATGCGCAAACAAAAACGAAAGAAGACAGGACAGAAGCTGATTACATCAGTAGCACCCTCATACATCACTGCTTGGGGCCTAGAGCTTGAACAAACGGGGGCAACCCGAGGTCCCTACTCAAGGATTTGTGAAGACCTTAGTCTGTGAAAGAGCGCAAACAAAACTGAATTGAGAAGGACTAGCAGAACAGAGCTTGATTGCTTCAGTAGTACCCCCATCCGCAACTTCTTAACCATTTTCATTGCTGCATGCGCTGCACCTGTGAAGCACATGTAAGAAAACGATTCGGCCCCAAACCCATCTCTGTTCATTGCTATCCGACTCCATCCCATATCGATTTTCTCCTGTGCGCAGGCTCTGTACCTGTAAGACGGGGACATTTCTTGTGATTTTAGATGGTCATATGCTGCACGGCGTGAAGTTCTGAAGCACTGTTCATGGCTTGCGAGGCCAACGTAGGTTGTAACCTACATCGTCTTTGACAAAGCCTGAAAGAAGGCAGTCTTTGCTGAGATCTGCATGGCTTGGCAGGTGAGGCGCCAATAAGCAGGGCATGCACGGTTGTTCTCGGGATTTGTAGTGAGATCATAGCATGAAGAGTCAAAGTTAACACCAGCCTAGCAACGAGGGTCTGCGCGGTTGCGGGTGGAAGGGGCAGATTCGTTGGTTTGCAGGTGCGCTCGGTCGAGGAGTTAAGCCCCCTCGCGTCTCTTGGTAGGTGGTTGGGTCGATTCACGGTCCGTGAGCTTTTGGTTGTGCTACTTGTCCTAATGAAGACCTACACAAATCTTTCCATTCATTGCAGAACTACAAACATTCAGTAGGTTTTTGTGCCTGGCTCATTTATGTGCTCTTTTTGCCAGTGCCATTGTGCAAGAGGTCGGAGACCGCCGAAGCATTTGTTCTTGATGCTGGAAGGAACATCTTCGAGCGCCTCTTTGGATGCTTATGCGCCTTGCTTCAATGAGCTTCATACTTTCTTGTGACTTGGGGCTGCAGTCTGTGCCGCACTTTCTTGCTCACGAGGCACGACTTTCGAAGTTTGCAGGGCGAGGAGAAACTTTTGGTCGAGGACAGCAATTGAGTCTTACAATGCTTCGCAGTATTGCGTTGATTCGAACGTGCGCTGAGTAGGAAGACGACAGCTCAAGCAAACCGTTCTGATTGAATGATACCCAGATCATTTGACATGTGCAGGATGTTCGACAAGCTGTCAGATCAACTGCCGAGTTACAGGCAAAGACACGGGACGTGGTTCTTCAAGCTTTGAGTTGCAATGCCTGCTCAGGCTCGGGAAACAGGAGAGCTCCCTACGTGGCCACAGGTGCTTGGCGACACACTGCTGTTGCTGCCTCGCTCTCAGACTGATGATCTCCGGCACGGCCTTTCCCCGCCACACGAAGCTTGCCATGCATTTTGCGCGGCAGAGCAGCCACCATGTTCCAATGGCAGGCTGCCCTTGTGGAAGCTTTCGGCACTGGCTGTGGCCAAGGGTCAGGCACGGCGAGCATCCCCACGTCCCAACCAAGATGCAAGCTCGTCAGGACCAGCTGACCAACTTTGTTGCTGGACCGCCGCTCGGTGCGCCCTTGAACTGATGTTGGTGGATTTGAGCTAGACATATTGTCGCACAGGCGCAAATCTTGGAGCACAGCGGTTGCTCCGACGTCTTATAGAAGTTCTCCTCAGTGAAAAGGCCCAGAACTGGACATGGGAAGCTTGAAGTGCTGCGTTTAGATTTGAGGCAGACTTCATGGACATCGCACTATGGTTTGCAGCCGAACCATCATCGGCCGTGGCCTGATGCTTTGACCTTCGTAAAACGTTTAAGGCTTTGGATGCTCAATGTGATTGCAAAACCTGGTGCCTTAGGCAGCGCTCTTGACAAGTGGGGAGGCTGTGCGCTTCCTTTTGCCTGAGGCCATAGGGCTTCCTCAGTCGCATGTAGCAGCGGTTCAGCTGTGCTACAGGCTGCAAATGACGATGAGTTTGTCAGCTTTCGGCAAGCTGGAAGCCTAGCAATGTGGGTCCTGGAATTCTTGAATGGCAGATGCCTTTCCTCCAAGGAAGGCTTGCTTCGTACACAGGAGAATCTGTCGTACCTGCAGGGTCACCTGCTTAGGCTGGCCTTGGTGTTTGTGTCCCGTGCCTGCTTTTTAGCGGCAGCCAGGCTTCCCAAGCACTTGCGTGTGCATGTCTCATCCTACTGGAGAAAGGCCGTGGAAGAGGCTGGACTAGACATTGATTCATTGTCACGCACAGAGACACACACACACACACCTATGCACCCACCTAGCCACGCAGGCACGCACGCAGGCACGCGCGCAGGCACGCACGCGCACGCCGACGCACGCCGGCGCACGCCCATGTGCACGCGCATGCCCATGCGCAAGCGCCCGCACTCGCACCCGCGCTCGCGCCCGCGCACGCCCTGTCGCACGCGCACGCACCAGCACCCGCACCCGCCCCCGCACCCGCACCCGCACCCGCACCCGCACCCGCACCCGCACCTCATACAGTCACGCACACTAAACAATGCACACAGAAACAGACAGAACAGAAACACAATTGCACAGAAGCACAGACGTACACACGATAGAGACACACACACACACACAGGACGCGCGCGCACGATGCGGGCGCACGCCCAGGTACGCCCACGCACGCCCACGAACGCACACGCTCGCACACGCTCGCACACGCACGCACACGCTCGCACACGCTTGCACATGCTCGCACACGCTCGCACACGCTCGCACACGCTCGCGCACGCCCGCACACGCTCGCACACGCTCGCTCACACACGCTCGCTCACACACGCTCGCTCACACACGCACGCTCACACACGCACGGTCACACAGGCACGCTCACACACGCACGCTCACACACGCACGCTCACACACGCACGCTCACACACGCACGCTCACACACGCTTACACGCGCTCACACGCGCTTACACGCGCTCACACGCGCTCACACGCGCTCACACACGCTCACACACGCTCACACACGCTCACACACGCGCACACACACGCTCACACACGCTCACACAGGCACACGCTCACACGCTCACACACGCTCACTCACGCTCACACACGCTCACACATGCTCACACACGCTCACACACGCTCACACACGTTGTCACACGCTCACAAACGCTCACACACGCTTACACACGCTCACACACGCTCACTCACACAAACACACACACGCACACGCACACACGCACACACGCAGACACATGGACAAACGCACGGTTCCACACAAACAGACACAAACAGACAAACACACACACACACAGACACAAACAGACACAAACAAACACAAACAGACACAAGCAGACACACGCACAGACACACACACACACACAGACACGAGCAGACAAACATGCACAAACAGACCAAGCCAGACACACACAAACACGCGCACACAAGTGCACAAACCCACACACGCGCACGCAAAACCAACACGCACGCACGCAAACAAGCAAGCAAGCAAGCAAGCACACATGCATGCACACACACACACTGACACCCACACCCACACCCACACCCACACGCACAAGCGCAAGCTCACGCTCACGCTCACGCTCACGCTGACGCACACGCGCAAGAGCACGTGCACGCGCACGCACACACGCACGCACACGCGCACCCGCACCCGCACCCGCACGGGCACCCGCACGCGCACGAGAACTCGCAACGCACGCGACACGCAACACGCACGCGCTTGCGCGCGCACACGCACACAGACACGCACAGGCACACACGCACATGCACACACACACACACATGCGCACACACACACACACACACGCACACACGCACACACGCACACACGCACACACGCACACACGCACACACGCACACACGCACACACGCACACGCGCGCACGCACACACGCACACACGCACACACGCACACACGCACACACGCACACACGCACACACGCACACACGCACACACGCACACACGCACACACGCACACACGCACACACGCACACACGCACACACGCACACACGCACACACGCACACACGCACACACGCACACGCACACGCACACGCACACGCACACGCACACGCACACGCACACGCACACGCACACGCACACGCACACGCACACGCACACGCACACGCACACGCACACGCACACGCACACGCACGCACACGCACACGCACACGCACACGCACACGCACACGCACACGCACACGCACACGCACACGCACACGCACACGCGCACGCGCACGCGCACGCGCACGCGCACGCGCACGCGCACGCACACACACACACACACCCACACCCCCACACGCACACGCACACACACACACACCCACACCCCCACACGCACACGCACACGCACACGCACACACACACACACCCACACACCCACCCCCACTCCCATCCCCACCCCCGCACGCGCACGCGCACGCCGCACGCCGCACGCCGCACGCCGCACGCCGCACGCCGCACGCACGCCGCACGCCGCACGCCGCACGCCGCACGCCGCACGCACGCGCACGCGCACGCGCACGCGCACGCGCAAGCGCAAGCGCACGCGCACGCGCACGCACACGCGCACGCGCACGCGCACGCACACGCACACGCACACAAACGCACGCACAGACACAAATGCACATTTACAAACAAGCTTAAACACACAATTGGTTGCACGCTGGATAGTCAGGTGCATCTCTACCTGCAGCTCTATTTGAGAGTCATCGAGGTTCTTGTTTGACTTGACTGCCTGCTTTTGATTTGCTGGCAGTGGCTAGCACTGCTTTCATCTGAACTTCACATCACTTGGCCACGAAGGCTTTCCTGGAGGTGCAAAAGGAGGCGAGTTTGACTTCGCGTCTCGGGGAGTGCTATTTGCTGAGTTGCAGTACTCGCCACCAGGTCCACAGCTTTGTGCAGAGTCAGTTGTTCATGGAGGTTTTGCTAGGGCTGCCTTGCCCCTAGGTTTGTTTGTGTAGCCACTGCATCATATTTGCTTGCAACGCTCGCAATATGTGTTGAGGCCTTTGCTTACCTGGCTGTCTTCTGACGGGTCAGTCAGCCAAGAAATTCGTGCTTAGAAGTTGCTCAAATCATAGGTCTTTGATCAGGGTTGTTCGACGATGATTTTGCACATAAGGAAGGAAACTGAAATGAAGATCGGCACCTGGTCAATCAAGCACATGTATGGAGGAGCAGCTTTCTTCTGCCGAAGGATGCCATGTTTCAAGTTACAGTTTGTCATCTAAGCATGTCTGTTTCGGTTGTGCTGGTGGCTCAAGTAAATTTGGTTGTAGCTTGAATACCCAGCAGGCGCTCAGGGAGGTGCCATGAGTTGGCCAAAGAAAGACCCATGCCTGGCGGCAAAACAAAATATATGTCCATTGCAATGTTCGTCACTGCATTTTGGTGAGGCTTGGCGAGAGATGCAAACCTGGTTTGATCCGCAGTGGCTCAAAGGACTTGGAAGCTTTAGGACCTCGCACAGCCACAGAGAAGCGAGGTAAGCATCGCCCCCAATGTTGGATTTTGAGTCCGGAAATTCTTCCTGGGCAAGTCAGCTTGGCTCAGGAGCCATGCCGAAGAAGACCAAGGCCGGCAAGACAGCAGCAGGAGAAGAGTACATGGATGCTCAGAGACCGGAAGCGCAAAGCTAGATGTCAATGTTATGTTGCTTGGCAAGCTGCTGCTTGCAGGAGGCTTCAAGAAGGCGCTCTTTGCAGTGTGGATGAAGCTCACACTTCTTTGAGACTTGCAGTCACACACACACACACTGGCAGGGTCCTATGATGGATGGCTTTCGGATCCTAGCTCAGCCTTTGTAGAATGGGAGCTCTGTTCGGTCGACCTTGCATGCAACACTCAACCATGGTTGTACTGAATGTGGCCACCTTCTTCCACCCACGCTTCCTACCCTGTTCAATAGTTTTCTTTAGCAAGCGCCGCTCACATACGTGTACGTGTACTTATGGCCAAAAGCCACAGCTTTTGTTTCCACTAATTTCTGTAGAGCCTCACCGCTGGGCTTGCTAGCTGCCAGTCGTGTGCCATGTAGCTAGCTAACCAGGCAGCTGGTGAGCGAGGTAGCTAGTTATCCAATTGATTTGTCGGCATGCGAGTTGTCCAATAAGGCGGACAGTTTGCTGCTTCTCCCGTAGGTTCATAGCAACAGTGATTTTGAGGGTTGCCCCTCGAAAGTTCGTACAGTCCTCAGAAGGTTGCTCATTGCAATCGAGGTGGTTTGCACATCTGCCAAAGGGCTGAATTCCGGAAGCGGCCTTGCTTAATTGTCTTTCTTATTTCCCAAGCGATGGTTTTCTCATCTTGCCACACGGTATGCGGAAGCTGTTGCGAAACTTCTTTATATAGATAAGTTCTGAAACACACAGACACAGAGACACGGAGACACAGAGACGCAGAGGCGCAGAGACGCAGAGACGCAGAGACGCAGAGACGAAGAGACGAAGAGACGCAAAGACGCAGAGACACAGAGACACCAGAGACGCAGAGAGTCCTTGTCAACGTTTGCTATTCTCAGCACTAGCTGCGAGTGACGTCGTGTGTTGGGCCTGACTTCATGGTGTTTGCTCAGGACCATAGAAGAGCCTGCCTACTTGTCTGTGAAGGACATGCGCGTGAGTTGAATAGCACATCTCTGAATTGCTTGTGCCCAGGAGGAGAACATTGCCCCCTTCACCGTCCCACTTGAGGTTGTGGAGTTCACTGCAAAACCAACCATTTGTTTCGATGCTCAGGCGTTCACCTTTCAGCCAGAGCCGGATATGATTGTCAGTCCGACCTTCATTCAAGCACAAGCACATTCACATTTGCTTTGGGCAAGCGTGTGGTACAAACCTGCAGCAATTCCATGGTAAGGCCATTTCAAAAATGGAGATAGAGAACGCAAGATCTACTGCAACATGGAGCTCTCAGAAGAGGATGTCTTTGCTGCGTTCAAGCTTTGTACAAGTCCATTTCTGTAAACTGCGTTTGCATTAAAGTGTTTTTGCGCACTGTGTTGCTTCCAGCTTGCATTCGGCAAAGAGACTTGCCAGGAGCAAGCCAGTGTCAAGTTATTGCAGGACGTGTTCCGCACGCCATCATGCTTGCAGATACGGAACAATAATCTCTTGCCCCTGCAGCTTCACATCTTCAACTGCCAACATCACTCTGTTCTTCCTCCCTGCAGGAGACTGCCAAGAAGGAAGGCTTAGAATTTTTTCCTTCGGTCGCCAAGCTGGCATGTGATATTTTTTTACACAGGGAGACTGCCACGTGGCCGTGGCACACCTTGACGCAACCTTGTTAGTCCTGCCAGTGGCGACTTCTGACCTCATACAGCTGGCCAGGCCATCATGGCAGGGAGATTCTTGAGCAGGGCCCGAGGCGATCCTCACAAGGCCGGAATTGGTGAATGTGCGAGAGAGAGAGAGAGAGTGTGTTGAGCACTCTTTGTAATACATATATATATATATATATTTATAGAATCATTTGTTTTGGGAAGCGATTGGGACGAGAGGACAAGGTGATCTGGTTTCGATGTTTCTCGACTGAATTGACAGGCCATCAAGCTCATGCACGCCACGCAAGAATGGAAGGCAGAGTACTTCAAGGCTGACAGCATGCTTGTGTGTGTGCGGCTTTACACCTGGACACAGTGCTGGATACGCAGGCTGGACCCGTAGCTGACGATCAGGTCTTTGAGGATCTCAAGTAGAAGCCTAAGAGTCCATGGCATGGTTAAAATATGCAAGATATTTCTTTGCTCTTTGGCCCACAACAACTGGCAGAGCTTGAAAGTCACCTGCCATTGCTCGTTCATTGTGAGTCAAGCTGTTCGCGATCAGCCAGCAATTGATAAGGTATGGTGTAGTGTACTTCTGCGGCCGAGACTATGGGCTCAGGCACCTGGGTGGGTTTTCTCTTCTAGATGTATCCGACCAGCGCAAGGCCGACGATTGTGTGCAGAGCCAACCGCATTCCGGACGAATGGTACAAGGACTGCTTCATCGAGGGAGCTCAGCAGCTTCAATCACCGGAACGCGTGTGTTCGTCCAGGACAAGAAAGCAGGCATCGAACGCCTGATCAAAGTCCTTATCTTTTGCATGGAATACATGGTTCGATACATGGTCGTGCCAACAGCTCAGTCATGCTGCTTCATGTCATGTGACATGTGGTGACCTGGACGCGCACGTCAACTCACTTGCTGATCCGAGGCCAGGGAGAGTTGAAAACAATTGCCTGATTGTCGATCTCAAGGGCTCCGAGCTGAGAACTGGCAAACGAGCGAAACTTGTAATAGAGTTGTGCTGCCCTGAGGCCTGGGAATTTCGGGTGTTCCCATCTCCGCCTTGTCCCAAATCTACTCAGTTGCTTGGATGCATTTTGTATAACAATGCGTAGTGGGAGACTCGCTAGCATGGCGATTGCAGGTCATGAGCCACCATTACATTGGTCGCGTTTTCAGGCGCTGTTTCTTGCGTCAAATCGTGTGCCATCAAGCCATTCCGCGCAGATTCTATGTGGTCAACATGTCCAGTGGACTCAGCACAATAGCTGGTTGGGCCGCTTCCCCATGTGCTGGAAATCTGCGAGACTGCATTTGCGAGCAATTTGCAGTGAGCCTCAAGTGGTCTGATGCAGGTGAAAGGGCTTTTGACGGATCGTCAGAAGACAAGTACTCAGTTGATTTGCGCGATCAACATGAGCATATGCGCCACTTATGATTTGCCGGAATTTCAGGCAGAAGCTAGCTCTTTTGGACACTTTGGATGACCTCAAGAAGGCGGCGTTCAGACAAAGCACGCAAGCACAGACATGTGAGTCGAAGCCCGACATTTCAATTCTACTGTGCGAGCCGCAGTTGGAATCCAGGACTTTGCAAGTCATCAGCTGGAGGAAGACCTCGGTTGCATGCTCAGGAGTGAGGGCATTTCGGCGCAAAGGCAATTCCTGGGCAGTTCTGCACATGTGCACTTAGAGAGAAAGGCATGCACAGACATCGGCAAGCACGCACGGGCGCAGAGGCAGGCAGGCAGGCAGGCAGGCACGCACGCACTGACGCACTGACGCACATACACGCACGCACGTAATGACGCGGCTGCATGCAACCACACCCACTCACATTCAAGCACGCGCAATCACCCACGCGGACACGCACACACACACACAGAATTACACACCCACGATGCACGCACACCCACACACACATGATATTCATAGACATACTCAACCCGCAGCCACACCCCACCGAAACACACACACACACCACACACACACACACACGGACAACCACACACACACACCCACCCACCCACCCACCCACCCACGCACGCACGCACGCACGAACGAACGCACGCGCGCTTGCAATTGCAATTGCACGCGCGCGCGCGCACGTTTGCGCGTGCGCACGCGCACATACACGCGCACGCACGCGCGACGCACACGCACACCTCACACCGTACGCATGCACGCACAAACTCGCACCCATTGAGCAACTCACCAACGCACACACACACACACACACACACGCGCACTCCACACGCACAAACAGACACGCCGCGCGCACGCACACAGACACACATACCCCCACACGCGAGCGCGCACACGCGCGCACATTCCACACACACACACGCATACGCACACACACACACACAGGCACACGCACACACCACACAGCACCTCACACGCACGCACGCACCGCAACGCACACCCGCTCGGGCAAGCGGGCGCGCACGCTTGCGCACCCGCACGCGCACGCTTTCGCGCCCACACACACACACCCACACGCAAAAGCACACGCACGCGGGCCCACACCTGCGCTCACACCCGCAAGCACATGCACGCGCATGCGCGCGCATACACGCGCACCCGCACCCGCACACACACACACACAAACACCCACTCACCCACCCACCCACCCACCCACCCACCCACGCACGCATGCACGCACGGACGCACGCACGCACGTGCGCGCGCGCACGCTCACGCGCACGCGCACGGGCGCCCGCGCACGCACACTCACACGCACGCTCACACGCACGCGCACGCGGACGCCCACGCCCACGCCCACACCCACACCCACACACACACACACACACACTCGCGCGTCACTTAACACCACACACACACACACGCACGCACGCACGCACGCTCGCACGCGCGCGCGCACGCACGCACCACGCGCGCGCGCGCGCGCGCGCGCGAATCCACGCACACGAACGCACGCACGCGCGCGAGCGCACGCGCGTGCACAACGCAAGCGCGGATGCAGACACACAGGCCCACGCCCACGCCCACACGCTTGCCCACACGCAAATGCACACGCGCCTGCTTGCGTGCACCTGCACGCTCACACGCACACACACACACACACACAAACACACACACACACACACACACACACACACACACACACACACACACACACACACACACACACACACACACACACACACACACACACACACACACACACACACACACACACACACACACACACACACACACACACACACACACACACACACACACACACACACACACACACACACACACACACACACACACACACACACACACACACACACACACACACACACACACACACACACACACACACACACACACACACACACACACACACACACACACACACACACACACACACACACACACACACACACACACACACACACACACACACACACACACACACACACACACACACACACACACACACACACACACACACACACACACACACACACACACACACACACACACAACACACACACACACACACACACACACACACACACACACACACACACACACACACACACACACACACACACACACACACACACACACCGCGCCCGCACGCACATGCACACGCGCACGCAGCTGCGCACGCATGCACTCACGCACGGACGAGAGCGCACGCACGCGCACACACACACACACACACGGCCAGGCTCAGGTGGAGGTGCATGGGCCTATGAGCAACCACACGCGCAAACTCATTCAAGAGCACGCGTCACACACACGCACACACATGGGTTTGATGAAACGGTCGACAACTGGGGAAAGCCACTAAAATGGAAAAAGTTACCCATGGTCATTTGGGGGCCAGGAAAACCACATAAACGCACTTGCAGATGAAACTGGCAACGCTCAGGCGGAAGCAGGCCTGCAATCACCAAATTTTTCCCGTTTCCGCTCCAGGCGTGGTGGGGCATTTTGCATGCGCATGTTGCACCATTTGATTTTCCTTCAAGTGTTCGCTGTTCAGGGCCCTCCTTACGAGAAAAACTCCACGGAGAGCTTTGAGCCCAGTTGCAAGACTCACATTTGTAGGACAGACTGCAGAGAGCAGAAGAGCGGAGCATCAACTGAGGCTGCTCCACTAAGCCTGTCGAGGGAGCGCACAAGGCCTTAAGTTGGTCTTCCAGTTTCTGTTGACAGGACATGCAGCAGAGCATTTCCATGAAGCATTTCTTGTGCAAGTGTTGCTTGCTTTCAGGTGCTCTCAGCAATGGGTGCCAGGGGCAGAATATGGGATCCGTCCAAGAGCAAGGAGGACACCTGCTGCGCCCTTGTGTTTGGCTTGTGAGATTGTGAGTTCACAAACTCAGTTTCCCCCTGTGACAGGAGAATCAGGATCTGGAGTACAGCGCGGAAGCCGGGCCATTTTCCGCTGTGAGTTTGTTTCTCCAGAGATTCGTGCAATTTGAACATCCTCCATTTGAGCAAGTGAATGTGAAGGGCCCTGCAGGCCTATGACTGGTTTGTCCAGAACGGCTTTGCAGTGCCACCAGACTGCCACAGACAGCACGAGGCATGTCACTTTTACCTGGCTATTCTGCGGGAAAAGTGTTGACCGACCGAACTACAACTTTGGGTTTTCTTCCTGAGAGGCTGCGAAGAAGGCAGAATTGGAGAAAGAAGCAGAAGCCAAGCGTTTTTGCCTCAACTGCAATATCCTGCGTTCAGAGGGAACTCGTGCGTTTTTGGAGGTCTTGCTGCTGAAAGCCCTGGTGGCATTACCAATTCAGACCTGAAGGCCCTTCATTGAGACAGTACCCGGGATGCGTGCGTGGACTTCTGGAGTGCCAGGTGAACAATTCTGATGGACTTGCCATGCAAGACGAGGCCTCTATCCATGAATCATTGAAGTGCTGCTCACCTTGCTCACCCTGGTCTCTTTGCAGGAAGAGGATGATGAGGTTGAAGAAGAGGAGGAGGAGGACCTGCACTGGAGTCATATTGATCCTGTCAGGGTCAGATCTGATTGATGGAAGGACATCATCATTCAAGACCCAGCTGCCATCAAGCCTAAGGGACTGTTCAGCTGCAGCCCATGCTGGTGCGGCAACAATTGTGCTGGGCCAAGCTTGACGATCATGCGAATTTCCCCTGGATGGTTTGCAGTGATGGCGGAAGTCATATTTCTTGATGAAGGAAATGCTTTGCTGATGGTTCTGAGGATTGGTTGCAGGAGGAGCGGGCTTGTTGACAGGGTGTGGCGGCTGTTGAAAGCAAAAGTTTTCACCAAAACGTGCACAACCATCATATAACCTAACAAACATGTTGTATTTCAGACTTTTGCAAGATCACAGCCGCGTCACGCTGTTTCGATGTGTGCTCGCGCTTCTGCGGGCTGGTCATTCCTTCGCTGACTCTCACGCCTGGACCTTGGTCTCGATTGTGATGCCTTTTGCCTGCGGAATTCAATGATTCACAGGAGAATTCTGTCTGCCAGCGATCTGATCTTTTGCACAGTACCACTCAATATTGTGAGGCTTTTTTTGAGCCTCCCATGGCTCTGTGGCGCTGCTAACGCTCATGCCTCAGCTTAGTCAAAGCATATTCGAATGTTCCCCGGAACAACGCTGTTCACTTTGATTGTGTCTTAGCATCCCCCGGATGATATGTTTTGCCATTCACTTCTGATCAAGAAGTGGGGCCGTTTCAGGTGCTGCTTGGTGCTGGGCTGCTTGGTGCTGGGTGGCTTGCCGCTGTTGGTTCGGGTGAAGCTGCTGTGGGTGCTGCCGTGGGTACTGCCATGGGTGCTGCTGTGGGTATGGCGTGCGTCGCGTGGGCACGTTGCTATGAGTGAGCCAAGGCAGTCGACCACTCAAGCTTGAGAGGCGGCCAGGTGCTTACAGCCTGCTTCAGCAAGACATGCCAAAATATGCCGACACTTGCATGGCTCCCACTTCAGCCTGCACCCCGAGACCAGAGGTGCTACATCGCCTGGCTGCCATTGCTGGCTATTGGGACTTCTGAAAGGATGGCTGCACCTGCACAGCAATGCAGGAAACACAATTTTCCATTGCTGCGCAGAGATGGGGCACATCCCTGTGGGACGTGCCAAGCACCCCCACGACCTGACCCCAAATGGGGCAGGCGAATTTGTGAGTGATGCACCGTGATGCAATCATGCTGTGTGCTTTTGGAGTGCTCGGCCTTGGCAATGCCGAGGGAGTGTTTCGAGCATGGTCAGTCCCTTTGAAAAGTGTTGGATCCAGAACCATGCCAGGCGTCTCACTCAGTGCGCACATGATCCTTCCCGTTCGACTGCACTGCAAAGTGTGGGCTGAAGTACTGGTAATTGTGCGCGACATAATGACATAGCATGATAAAAGGAAGGCAAGCGTGATCTGATCCTTTGTGTGTGTGTGTGTGATTATGCTGGCCTTAATCCTTCCTGACTGCGAAAGGTGCCTCCGTTGCGGTGTTCAAACTGGGATGAGGAATTAGGATTGTCCCACCCTGGCATTTGAACACCAGTTTTGTGCATGAAACCAGCGCAAACTTCACTGCCGCTTCCAGGCAAGTTCAGTTCGAGATTGCAAGCCCTTCGCATTCAAGCCTCGACATTAGCCATTCGAATCGTTAAAGTAGCATGACGGACTCGATCTTGGAAGTCAAATGGATATGAAATCCGAAGCGATGTCCACAGCGGTTCTTCACCAAAATCATATCATATCCAAATTGCTGCATGGCGGCCCCGGCAACAGGCTGGGCCTCATTGGCCTCAGCGTGTAGCTGGCTGGCTGAGACTCAGGTCAGGATGCTCCAGCTCAGGTGGCCGAGGACGCATGTTTGCGAACGCACTTGAGCGGACCATGGAAGCCACACATGGCCACAAGATGCTCAGACCTGTCAGGTCTGTGAATGCGGCAACATGTTCATGCCCGATTCGACGCCCAGCTTGGAGCACCAAGAACGGGGCGTTTGTTAGTGCATCGTGTATGTGCATCTCTTCAACTGTTGCTTATTTGAGCAAGCCTGGCCCCTTTTGGCACGCTTTGTGAATTCACTTGTCGAATTCATCGGCGCGCTGAGCGCCTTGCATTTGCAATCCCTTAGGCAAATGCTTTCCTGTAAGGAACTTCTGCCGGCAATGTGGAGCACCGCGCAAGGTGGGCCGGTCAAATATGATGTGGTGCAGTGGTGCATCTTGAATTTGAAAGCGCTGGCAGGGAACTGCTGCAATGGCTTTCGCTTCGGCCCCGGTCGCATCTCCACCGACCTTGGCACCGGGTTCCTCCTTCGCGGAGGTCTGGCAAATAGGACGCCTTTGTCTTCTGACGCCAGCGATGCTATCGGGGCAGGCAACTGCAGAACAAGCATCACCCAACAGCTCCGTGCACCTGCAGGCCACATGCTTGCGTCCAATTTGTATCCATGGCTTCTTGGGCTTGATGCGCAACGACTGTGGCAGGTACTGGTGCTTTTGGGTGAGAAGTGGCTGTGGGCACATGGTGCTGCTGAGCTGGCCCGCCAAGAATATTTGGTCACTCTGCCACAGAGAGCTTCTTTCCGCGCAGGTACTGCTGCTTGCAAAGAATCTCAAGTTTGACTACCCGCCAGGAGACATAAAGATTGACCGTGGACGGAGAGAGACACTGGGGGAGAGACCGTAGGCCGGCTGCTTGCGATTAGCAGGATGGGCTTTGGCAGAGCTTGCCATGATCGCTGTGTACCTCCTGGTGCAAATTCTGCACCGATCTAGCGGGAGCTTTGCCAATAGGCGTGGGCTGCTAGCGATGTTGTGAAGCACTCAGAGTCCCTCTGCCACAAAAGAGAGACTTCAATTGAAGAGCATTTCGACCAGGGCGAAGAGCACATCGTCTATGGCCTTCTTCCTTGGGCTCTGTGGCATGCTGGTGCTGCTGGCAGGCTATCTCACAGCTTTGCAGGCACGCAGCTACGCGGCTTTGAGCCAATTTTGGGCCTGGCAGAAGCTTGCCAGGTCTATGTAATGCAGGTGGAATTCGCCATGGGCCTGGTTTCAATGCCCCAGTCCGAGATGCGCCGGCTAAAATTGGACCTTCGCTTTCGAGTTGAAGGTCTTTGCTTGGCTGCCAGCTGCTACTGGGAACCTTTGCAGGCCAAAGACACGCCGCAAGGCCCAAGCTGGCCTTGCCTGTTATTCGCCGTTGCATTTTCATTGAACGCAATGCTGGGGCAGGACAAGGGACTTGGTGTTTCTCTATCTCGCTGCTGCTGTGGCAGTGGCGGCTTCAATCACAGCTTTGGTCCTTGAGCCTCAGCCAGAGCAAAACGTTCACGTAGAATTTGTACCGTGTAGCATCAATCTTGTCGCTGTCTCAGGACACGACAGCACACGCATTCAGCGCAGAGCAAATGCAACCAGGCTGCATTGCCAACAATCCGAAGCAGAAAGACGTGCACTGTCAAAATCTCGTGCGGCTGAGGCACGCAGCACTGATTGCCGGTTTAAGCATATTTCTAGCCAATTCATTCTGCACAATTGTTTTTTGGGGTATTAATCTTTCCGAATACTGAAATACACCAAAATGATGCTCACTAAACAACTATGATGAAGATCATAAACTATATATTATTATCATACTATACAATTCATAAAAATGGACACAATATATTTTAATAGGATGGGTTTATTTTATTATATGTTATTTTTCTGTAATAATAATTTATAAACTGATTTTATTTAAAAAAAAAAATAATGTTTATTTTGTTTTTGCTTAATGTAATATAAATTTATGTGGTTTGTAAAATTTGGGAGGTGTTTGGGATTTGTATTTTTCGAGTTGTTTGTTTTTGATGATTCGATTATATGTAGATAAAATAATGTATAGTTTTATAAATGATTTTTTTTTTTTTTAGAAATTTGGAAATATGGTTAATTGGATTTTTATATATATTTATTTTTATATTAGTTTATATAATTATTAATATATTAATATTTTGGTATAATTAATATATTATTTTTAATATATAATTATTAATATTATGAATATAATATAATAATATAATAATAATAAAATAATATTAATAATATATTATTATTAATATAACCTTAGGAAACCTTATCCTAAAACCGTTTTGGATTATTTTTTAGCTTTTGTAAAATCCTTAAATTTCTGGGCCTTTATAATTATTCCTTGTTTTTTTTCCCCTCTCTCTGTAGTTAACCTTGATGGAACCTTATTGTAACTACTCCGGATTTCCTTATAGCTTTTATAGAACCTAATGGTGGAGTCCTAATAGAACCTTTATAAAACCTTGTTTTAAGGCTGTCTCGGATTGCTTTATATCTCTCGTAAAACTTGAAGGAATTCTAATATAAATGTAACCTTAAGGCCGCTCCGAACTACTCTATAACCCTCGTAAAGCCTTGCTTTAGGGCCGCTCCGCAGCCCCAAAACTTTCAATTATTAGAATATATACTAATGAAAATTTATTAATTCCATTAATGACAATACCAACAAAAAAAATAAATAAAAAAACAAAAGAAAATAAAAAAAGGCAAACAGAAAAAACAATGAGAAACAAAAAACAAAACGAAAACCAAAATAAAGAAAACAGGAAAATATTGAAAAACAAGAGAAATATAAAAAGAAAGAGAACAAAAAAAAAGAAAGAAAGGAAAGAGAAAAGAGGAAAAAAGAGAAAGAGAGAAAGATAAAGAGAGAAAGAGAAAAAAAAAGAGAAAAAAAGAAAGAAAGAAAGAAAAAGAAAAAATGAAAAAGAAAAAGAGAGAGAAAGAGAGAGCAAGAGAGAGAAAGAAAGAGAAAGATAAAAAGAGAGAAAGAGAGAGAGAGAAAAAAGAGATCTATAGCAAAAGGAATTATTATTAGCGGAGATAACCGAAATAAAACCGATATCCCGACGAGATATAAGTATTATCCTATGGGCAATAAAAACATTAAAGAGAAAAAGAAAGAGAAAACAAAAACAGAAATACACGAAAAAAAAAAAAGACAAAAAACCCATATATCTCTCATCTATCACTTTTTCTTTCTATTTATAAAAAAAAGAAATAAAAAGAGAGAAGAAAAAAAAAAAAAAAAAAAAAAAAAAAAAAAAACGAGAAGAAAAGAGAAAAAAAGAAAAGAAAAAAAAAGAAAAAATAAACAGAAAAAAAAACAATCAACTAAGCAAATATAATACCAGCAACAATTAAAATCAAATAAAGAAAAAAAATACAACAACAAATATCAAGCGGAGCTTAAAAAGGAGGAAATAT